GAGCTCTCCAGTTACAGAATGCCTAACGGGAAGGATCCACCTGATGCAATGCAATAGTGCAAGATGCATTAATACAGATGGTCGGCTAGTTTTAAAGAATTTATGGCTTTGTTCTACAAGGTGTTTGTAAGCCCTTAATGTTCAATTACTTCCATGGAAATTGAAGGTACTCAGCACTTCATAAAATAATCCTTTTAGTAAGCCTGATGTCTTTTGGCTCCTCCAATGAGTCTATGCTCAATTAGCTGTCTTTGCTGTCTGTTCAATGTGCAAGCATAAAAGAGAGGGAGAGAGCGCTAAGACAGTGCAATATTCAAATTTTATTTGTTGCTCCACGTATACTGGCCTCTCTCATCAAGCACTTCTTTAAATTAAAGTTATTAAAATTCTTAGACGTGACTGTATATAATCCTGCTATAATGCTCCCTCTGGAAAACTATTTATCATAACATCCCCTTTTCACACTTACTTAAGATAGCAAAAGTAGTCATGAATACTGTGACGGGTTCTCCCCGGGGTGCCACCTGAGAGTGGGGTAACACTGAGCCTTCTTGACCCACCAGCCTGGGCTCCCTTTACACTGTACTGCTGTGACAGGCCCTCAAGCCCCCTTCAGCACACACACAGGTAGGGACACACCCAGCTGCAGCTACACACAGATGCTGAGATCAGGTCTGCATGGGAAGGCTCAGCTAAGGCACCTCCCAGCTCCTAAGGCACGCACCCCCCCGGAGTATAAACCCAAAATTATACCATCTTGCGCTGCACAGAGAACTGTACAGTGTAAGCTCATGAAATTAACCCCCTCCCTCAATGTGAGAGGAATATACACAGCTTTCTGCCCCAAGTAATGATTTTCACACACTGGTTTTAGAGAAAACAAAACAAGTTTATTAACTACAAAAGATAAATTTTAAGTGATTATAATGGATAGCAAACAGATCAAAGCAGATTACCTAGAAAATGAACAAAAATGCAATATAAGCTTAATATACTAAACAGATTGGATATGAGTAGCAAATTCTCACCGTAATTGTTGTTTTAGGCAGTTTGCAGAGATTCTTGAGGGCAAGCTGCACTTGCTTGCAGCTTAAAACCCCAGGTATACCTTTCACAGGCTAGAAATCCCTTTAGCCTGGGTTCAGCCCTTCTCCCCCAGTTTAGTCCTTGTTCCTGAGGTGTTTCCAGAAGTCTTATTGGGCCAGGAGTCAATGAACTCACCTGCCTTAAATATCTTTTGCCTTAAATATCTTTTGCATAGGGCGGGAACCCTTTGTCTCCCCCCCCCTTGGTTCCCATGCCCGATCAGTGGAAAAACACTGGTATTCCAAGATGGAGTCCAGTACCAGGTGACTTGGTCACATGCCCCTGTAGGAACACAGCAGCCATGACTCGGAGGCTGTTTGTAGCGTCTTCAGGAAGGCACCCCGGTGGGAGATTAACATAATCTACGACCTATTGTTCTTCCTAATGGTCCTTTCCAGCCAGCCATCTAGACTGATTGCATTCTGCCTAGAGGGCATTCCCCAGGTGTAAACACATTTGTAATAGATGCATAGATAATATTCCTAACTTGCACTTGGTTCTATTTGTAGTATGGTGTTTTGAGAGACAGTTCTGATATCTATCCGTTGCTTATTGACCTGTGTTCCTTCCATATCCTGCTGATCAGATCTCACCGTTTTTCACTCTAGGGGGTACCCAGGGTGGTGAGGTACCATACCACTACTTCTCCTTAGCGTGAAGTAGTCTGTGCCTGCTGTGGATAAGCTCCTTGAAACCACCAGCCTCTGGCAACTCAAGCACCACTTTCCAAACTTCTGGAGGCCTGGATCTCTCTGCATAGGTATCAGTAGGCACACATCAATCCCCCAATACTTGGAGCATTCTCTGTAGTGTCTAACCCCTGTTCCACTGATTACTCACAGGATTACTAGCCACGCTGTGCCCCAAGGAACAGAACACACCAGCTTGTTAGGTGTGTTTCAGGACCCCCACAGCACTAAAACTTCTTCTTGTTTTAACTACAAATATATCTGTTATCAAAGAATAGAGATTCAAGTGATAGTGAATAAGAATATTGGAACCAAACAGATAAAACTAATTTAGTCTCTAGAAGGCCTGTCATGATTTTAACTAACAGGTTAATGTCCTCTCTATAGAAGTTTTATCTCACCCGAAGTTCTTGTCATCCTCTTCAACCAGCATTTCTCGTGAAGCAAAATTGCAGTCCTTTTGCATCCTCAGTGAAAGGTGCCTAGGTGTCTTCTCTGACCTCCAAATATAGTCAAGCGAACCTCTGAAGTGCACCTACCAGATAGCGTTCCCTCATTACGCCGCTCCTTTTCTCTTTCTGTTAGATTTTTTTCTCTGAAGTTCTCACAATTCTTAATTTGCATTCAGTTCAGACTGGTGATAGGTGAACCATTGTGAAGGACACAATACTCAATGTACATGTAATCAGGTAGATGAATAAACATCTTTTGTCTGACAGAAAACTGTTTCTCACCTTTAGTTGTGCCTTATACCTTGATACAGACGCTAAGAGCATATTTTCTGTGTGTGTGTGTGTGTGTGTATATACACACACGCGTACGCACACACACACTCACTCTCCTTACATAGTATCTGTACATACATCTCACAGTGATACTAATAACCACTGTGACCCTGGCTTTCATTTGAGACCTCACATGACATTCTTTGAACCAGAATGTGCACAATAGAATCAGGATATTCCTGTAACCCCTTTGACAGTTGGCAGTCGGAGGGTTCTTGGCACACATCCACATCAAGCATTGCACTGGTTGCTATTAAGGCCTTCCATGGGAGTGTTTTTCCTTTTCAAAAATGGCTTATCATATTTTCTTTGCTTTTTGCAGCTTTCTATAATACAGTCTTAGCAATGTTAACTGCTGAATTGGCTTTGTCTGAAGTGACACAGTTTGGGATTCCACACCCGGTGAATTCCTTCACTGCTGTGTACATGATAGGCACCGCAATAGAGTCTGACAGTTCATCTAGTTCCCAATAGTGGTCTACAATAATGAGGTAGTTTTTGTAGTTCATGGAGAAAAAGTCCATTCCTAATTTTCTTCAAGGTCTGTTGGGGATGATGTGTATTTTCGTTGTCTCTTTTTGCTGCTTGGCCTGCATTGCTCCACATGTATCAAAACAGCTCACCAGGTCTCTGAAATCCTTGGCCATGTTGTCCATTATACAGTATCTCTGGGTTTCTGGATTCAGACTTCTATCCAGAATGGCTCTGATGTATTCTTGAAAGAGTTTCTTCGTTCTGTGCGATCTAAGTATTAGGATTCGACTGCCTTTATATAGGAAGCTGTCTTGGATGCTCATTTGATCCCAATAGTTCCAGTATTTTTGAGAAGAAGATAGATCATCTCCTCTGGTGTTTGGCCATCCTGACAGAACAATGGACATGAGCACTTGTAAACCTTTGTCTTGTGTAGTTTGGTTTGTTCACAGACTCTGTCCATCTCCTGCCTTGAAACTGACACAGAAAGCATCAGCCAAGTCAGTTATGTTTTTCTGTGTTTCTATTAGATTGAGTATCTCATTTTTGTTCAGTGGCCATATTTTCATGCTGCAAGACTGCTCTAGATAAGAATTCAGCTTTGCAAATCTTAGTCCCTTTCTTGTAGCATACATCTAAGCTGTTGGGTTCTGTAGACTTTCAGAAGTATTTGCTGAAGCTGTTTTGGGATCACCAGCAGTAGCTTTTTAAAAATGCTGTCTAGTGATTTATGGTCATTTTCTACTCCAATGGTGTCCCAACTTTGAACATACTGGATGAAATTTTCATGTGCAAACTATTGCGAAACATTCCTTTTCCACTTGAGCATGTCTTTGTTCCATTGGTGGTAGTAATCTTGATGCAAAAGTGTCACTTTTGTCAGTTTTGTAGGAGTGATGCCCCATGCAGTGTCTCACTGGCATCACATTGTATGGTTGTCTCTCTGTTCACTTAGCGGTATTTCAGCATGGGATAGTCAGTCTCTAACTCCTTAGTACATGTGATGGCTGCATCATGTTGAAGTAACCATGTCTAGGCTGCATCTTTGTCCAGTAGTCACCACAGGAGTTCACAAACACCTGAGATTCTTGGAAGAAATTTTGTCAGATAGCTTACAAATTCTAATAGTCTCTGAACTGATAATATCTTCAGGTATAGGCATCTGCTGCATTAGGGGGCCAGGTTGTAGCCCTTGGGAGTTCAGCAAGTGTCCCATGTCTGGTACTGCAGTCAATCACAATGCGTCTTATTTTTATTTCATTTTAGATTTACACCTCTACCTCGATATAACGCTGTCCTCGGGAGCCAAAAAATCTTACCGCGTTATAGGTGAAACCGTGTTATATTGAACTTGCTATGATCCACCGGAGTGCGCAGCCCCGCGCCCCCCCCCCCCCCCCCCGAGCACTGCTTTACTGCGTTATATCCAAATTCATGTTATATCGGGTCGCGTTATATCGAGGTAGCGGTGTATTTGCCTGGCTTTTTCTAGTAGACAGATGAGGTTATGCTTATGATTATGATGTGTCCCAGCATCCATATACCAGAATGTCATCAGATACCACTCTGATCCCTGCTAGTCCTGTTAGTATGTCTTGCTGGCAATGTTGATATTCTTTTGCTTCAGGTTTGATCCCAAATGGCATTCTCAAATGTCTGTTTTTGTTTCCCTTCCTTCTTTTTCCCACTCCTTTACTTACTTCCCCATTCCTCACCTCCCTCTAACCTTAACTTAAAACTAAAACCAACAATAGTAATAATACATATAACAAACAAAGCTTTGCCAGTTCTTCACCATGTGTTTGCACTTACATGTTATAACCTTATCCTCCACCCTTGAATTCAGTGGGACTATTCACTTTTTACAAGTATTTGCAGGATCAGGGGTTTATGATGCTCCTGTTAGGGGAAGGATGCAGTAAATAGCCAGTTACAGAATGAAAGAGAAAAAATCAAAACCAAATAGAAATGAAGTGAGAAAATGTACAAAGAAATGTGTGTGTGCTTGGCTGTGTTTTATGTCTCTATTCTCCCTAGCATTAAGCAGCTTGACAGATATGGTCAGCTGATCCTTGCAAATTCTACTGCAGCAGACACTGGTGAATATAGCTGCTGGCTTCTTCTGTGTAATGGCTCTAGCTGCAAGAAGGATGAGTCTAAAACAGGCTCAACATACATCTTTTTCACAGGTAATGGATTCATTGGGTTTATAAACTGAAATGCCTGGGTTGTCTGTCCATAAGGCAGGATTAGCATATTCATTTCCATTTTCCTATCCATATCCATTTCATGATCTGTATCCAGACATTGTTCCCTAGTGGTTTCCAAGGGATACATTACTGGTGGAGTGAGCAGGAAATTAAGCAAATAATTAACAATAATGTGATTTATGTGTCTACTTCCCTGTGCTTTACTCTAAATATATACCCAAAACCATGTCTAGGGAAGCAGAAAGTGGATAGTTGGCAAAAATCAGATACAATATTCTAATGTTAGAATCTGCAATAAAACTTAAACAATGCAGGAGTCCATCCTTCTTGTTTTATTTCCTTCTGAAAAAACATCTGTGGGAGAAAATAAAGTAACATGTTAAGACGCATCTTCTCATGACATTCTAATGCAAATACACTTTACCCCTATGCATATTACATTCCCAGGGTGGAATCCTGGCCGCACTGAAGTCAGGATTTCATGCAAGTTTTTTGCATCACACATTAGCCTTATAAGATGCAGAGCCGCTACTGTAAATATATTTACTAGCCCACAAAGCTTGAAGTTGATCGCTGCCCTAGTCCTTAGATATTTATGGTTTTTATTAGGGCTGTTGATTAATTGCAGTTAACTCGTGATTAACTCAAAAAAACTAATTGTGATTAAAAAAATTAATCGCAATTAATCGGAGTTTTACTGGCACTGTTAAACAATAGAATACCAATTGAAATGTATTAAATATTTTGGATGTTTTTCTACATTGTCACATATATTGTATTCTGTGTTGTAATTGAAATCAAAGTGTATATTATTTTTGATTACAAATATTTGCACTGTAAAAATGATAAACAAAAGAAATAGTATTTTTCAATTCACTTCATACAAGTACTGCATTCTCTTTGTCGTGAAAGTGTAAGTTACAAATGTAGATTTTTGTTGTTGTTACATAACTGCACTCAAAAACAAAACAATGTAAAACTTCAGAGCCTAGAAGTCCACTCAATCCTATTTCTTGTTCAGCCAATTACTAAGACAAACAAGTTTGTTTACATTTACAGGAGATAATGCTGCCCGCTTCTTATTTAAAATGTCCCAGAAAGTGAGGACAGGCATTTGCATTGCACTTTTGTAGCCGGTATTGCAAGGTATTTACATGCCATATATGCTAAACATTGGTTTGCCCCTTCATGCTTTGGCCACCATTCCAGAGGACATGCTTCCATGCTGATGATGCTCGTTAAAAAAATAATTCGTTAATTAAATTTGTGACTGAACTCCCTGGGGGGAAATTGTATGTCCCCTGCTCTGTTTTACCTGCATTCTGCCGTATATTTTATGTTATAGCAGTGCCCCAGCACATGTTCATTCTAAGAACACTTTCACTGGTGATTTGACAAAACTCAAAGAAGGTACCAATGTGAGATTTCTAAAGATAGATGCAGCACTCGATCCAAGGTTTAAGAATCTCAAGTGACGTCCAAAATCTGAGAGGGATGAGGTGTGGAGCATGCTTTCAGAAGTCTTAAAAGAGCAACACCCCGATGCGGAAACTACAGAACCTGAACCACTAAAAAAGAAAATCTACCTTCTGCTGGTGGCATCTGACTCAGATAATGAAAATGAACATGTGTCTGTCCTCACTGCTTTGGATTGTTATTGAGCAGAACCCGTCATCAGCATGGATGCATGTCCCCTGGAATGGGGGAATACAGTGCAAATACTTGTAATAATAAATAAATAAATATAAAGTGAGCACTGTACACTTTTTGTATTCTGTGTTGTAATTGAAATGAATATATTTGAAAATGTAGAAAACATCCAAAATATTTAAATAAATGGTATTCTATTATTAACAGTGTGATTAATTGCGATTAATTTTTTTAATCACTTGACAGCCCTAGTTTTTATGCAAGTCAAATAACAATCTAGTGTTATTACCTAGTGATTAAAGCAAATGGTTAATTTGTTCTTCTAATGGAAAACATTAGGAATGATAAAAACAAACTTTGCAGCCTGATTAGAGCTAAACCGTTTTTGGCTGGCAAATGCTTCAGTGTTACAGCATAAGATGACTAAGATAAGATTGTTTGTAATAAGGTTCAGAAATAAGTTGGAGCCATGGGATTATATGGAAGCCATTTATCGAAACAACCTTGGAACACTGACTTCTCTTTCTTTTCAAAAGGTTGGAATAATCAGATAAGCCACCTTACAACATACAGTGTTCAGGTTGGAAATATTAAGGCGTTTAAAAATTGCATTTATAAGCAATATGTCAACATATTAGAATACTGCTTGTTTTTGTTGACCTAACAGCACTAAAATGTTTGAATTGTTTAGTTACTTAATTGTTTTTAAACAATATGTATTTCACAGTCTGTATCTACAATCTTAGGTATTTCCAAGGGACCTTCCAGCTGGTACCCAAGCACAATACAAAATCAAATACTGTCAGAGGCCATAATAAAACTCCTGGTGTTTTTCTACTTTCCCCTTTGAAAAAGGGTGGATGAATTTAAGTAGAGCCAGATAACTCATTAGGACTTTTTTGTGAAAGTCTGCATTGTTTCAAAAGCTGATCCCAAAATTGGTGGTGGTCTTTATTTTATTTTATTTTATTTTTTAAGATACAATCCCTCTCCCCAGTTTATGAAACAGGCAAAGAAGGCTACATTTATGTTTTTAAATTTAGTGATTAAAGCCAAACTGCATATTAGTTTGTCCAAGTCAGACATGTTTTTACTTTTTTAAAAAACAAGTCCATGGTGACAGATTTAATTAATTGTAAAGAATGTTAAAATGATTGTTGCCAGATACTGTGGACACAGAAATAAATTACTGCTAATGCAAAATCTGAACTTAATCATCATTAGTAAATTTCTCCTCCCTTACATTCATTTTTTATATATTAGAAGACCATTTACATTTATATATATTTTTTTCTTAAATGAAATTTATAGACATCTTTAGCTAAATATTATATTGCATTACCTTCTTATATAGATAAAGGGGAGCTCTTTGTACCTACTTCCAGTTATTTCGAGATTGTCTACCTGAACCCAGATAAACCAGCAGTAATCCCTTGCAGAGTGACCATCCCATCAGCAAAAGTAACTCTGCACAGGGAGTTTCCAGCAGAAGAAATCAAAACAGATGGAACTAATATTATCTATGATGTGAAGAAGGGTTTTATTTATCAACACCCCACCTCTGACCACAAAGGAGTGGTCTATTGTAGAGCAGAATCACGGGGAGCACCTCAGATTTCTATCAAGTATCAATTACTGTATGTGGAAGGTAAGATGAATGATTTCCATAGATTTACGTTCAAGCCCATTTCTCTTGCTGGAGTTGCTTATGGGGCAAGATTTCAAATGTGCATTTGAAAAAACAAACAGACCCTAATTGTAATTATGGAATTTTGCAAATTCAGTCTGATTTTTTTAAAATAAAAATGTACTTTTCAAATTAAATCTGTTTGTAGAACATCTTGCCAGAATTTATGCTAATATAGGAAAGCATAAGGCTTATACTATTAAGTTAAAAACTAAGTGGTAAACCATTTTATTATGGCTGGATAGGAACCTGTGGTGCATAATAAATTCCAACAGCAATTGGAGCTAAAGAGAATAATGGAGAATGGGAAACAGCCCAGATAAATCAAAGCAAAATTTGCCCACAGATAGTTTTTGTTTGTTTGTTTTTTTGTTAACGTTTTTATTGATTTTTGGACATTTATTTCCTGCCTCCCACCCACACCTTTCATTCAGTTCCTAGTGGTCCACCATCAACAACAATTGTGGCATCATCCAACAAAGCAGAAGGTGGTGACAATGTTAATGTTCTTTGTATAGTCCTTGGGGAGCCAGACGTAGAAGTAGAATTCAATTGGAAGTACCCAGGGGAAGAGGTAAGACACACAATTCTAACTTAGAGGTGCATTTTTTCTTAATAAGAGTAAACTCTCACAATACAACATTTTAAATACCAGTCAGTATTTTCTAGCTGAGTAAGGCAAGGTGGATCAGAATGCATTGTCCGGCTCTCTGGTAGCAAGGTCACATCAGGAGGAAGCAACGTACTATCTGGTTGATTTTTCAGCCCAGTTTCCTCACTGAGGGCCTGAAGTTACTTGTAAAAATGCTCTCTAACCTGAGAGCTGTATCTGGGCTAGCAAAATCAAGCTGGGTGAGGTATGATGGGAAACAGTGAATGCTTACCAGGCCACCAGCTTCTCTCAGACAAGAAGTGATTCATCCCTGGCTTAAGAAATTCTCTTGATGATGACAGTCATCATTCTCCTTTGGGGAAAAATTAAGATATGGTGAAGCATAGTTGCATCGAGAGTTCTTTGCTATTCTTGGTCTGTTGTATTGGACTATATCAAATGCTTCTATGAGGGGCTACCATTGAAGGGCCATTTGGAAACTTTTGTGCCGTTGGTGGTGGTTCTCTCGTGGAGCCTATTACATGTTTGTGCCGTTTACTGCGAGGTTCCATTCAACAAACTCACTCTGATCTCTGTAGTCCTAGCATTGGAGGTTATTTATGTTATCAGTAAGTACTCTTCCCCTTCTGTACCACACTGAAAGTTGACAATAGCTTTACACTTGCAAACCTGCCTTTGGTTTGAACTTCAGGTTGCAGGATGTTCTGGCAGTAATTTCCTCCACTGGTCTCACCACCCTGGCCATGAGGTCAAGGAGTTAAATGCAGTTGGTACATAATTGTAAATAATACTGATGCCTCTCTGGCATGATCAGTATGTGATGAATTTAAGCTTCTATAAGGAAAAATAAAAGTTCTCCAAAGAAAACATCCTAAATATAAGCAGCTTCAGTGCTAAACATAGTTTGCAGATTGACAAATACATGAATTTATCACTCTTGCTGTATATGGACAGTCGTGGTCAGTATGCATCCATGTATCTACTGCAACAAACAGGTTTGCTTACAGCAGTTATACCTGGAGCTGGAAGGGAACAATCCTGTTGTCAGTTTTCTGCCCAAGCAGATTTAATATTATGGAAGTGTCTTGGTAGCTCTTATGATTTAGGTTGCATTGGGTTTTACACTTATAGCTTTAAGGTGCCACCAGACTCCTTGTTGTTTTTGTAGATACAGACTAACACGGCTGACACTTATAACAGTGTTAACAATGTATCATATTGTCTTAGTCAAACATTTAGTAACTTTTGGCAAAGGAAATATTAAGTGCAACCATTTTGAATTGTTTTCCTTGTGTTCTTTCTTTCTTCGTTTGAGAACCCGTGTCCCTACAACCTCTAGTGTTTTCAGGGCTAGTGCAGTTAATTTTCTAGTTTAACAGTGTTCTTCCCATTATTTGATATACCCTGTGTTTTCTGCAAGAAAAAGCCACCAGAACTGTTGAGTTCCATCAGTTCTCTCCTCCTACCAGCCTGCCCCAGTTTCTGCAAAGCACTGAGGCTATTAAGAGAGAGGGCATATTGGACTCAGATCAAGGGAGTTGAGAGAGATTGTGAGGCCACAGAAAAGAAGTGGGGCTCAACCCTGCTTCTCAGAGTCCTCATTTCTTCCACCTTCTTTCCATCTCCATGACTGCTGCACATGCATCTTTTATAAATAGCTACTGATCTATATTGACCTTTATACAAAGTTGAATGGGGAGAAAGGACAAAATGTGGAGGAGCAGGTGACTGGGGGGAAGATGTGAAGGAACAGGGCTGGCTGGGGAAGGGTATTGAGAGGATAATATCAACATTGATAGCTGTCCAGATTGAGAAATAGCTAATAAAATATGTAACTGGAAAAGTCTTCCAAACTAAAACTTGATTGGATTTGAGTTAATGTTGCTCTAGTACAAATCCAACAACCAAAGCATGTGAATGATAGCTGGCTTATCTGGTGTTTTCCTTGATTTTTTTTCTAATTGTATTTGTGGAATTTGCACTTGGGCAACCTTAAGTGCTCATCAACACTTAAAACGTCTATCAGTTTATATTTCTCAGGGATGTAATATTTTTGCTGACAAGTGAGTAGGAGTTAGTTCTTAATGAAGAGACTCAAGTAGGCTTGGAGGCATTAGATTTTTATCAGTAAATGTCAGTAAACATTGAGTTCACCATTCACACACAAACTGACAAAAATATTTCCATCAATAATAATTAAAATTTCCAGATAGGAAAAGTAAGAAATGCTGCTTGAGAACTGATTTAAGGAATTTTACTTTGTATATTTTGACATGTGATGTTGACAGTTTGGGTGGTGTTGGTTATAGAGCTTTTAACTCTTCCAATCTCAATACCTACTGTCATTAAATGTTTGATCCCCTCACTGACTGACTCCATAAATTCCCACAACTGTGGAAATTTAAAATTGATAAAAACTAAAAAAAAAAAATGCTTAAAAATAAACATTGCTAGTATCTGCTGAAATTATTTAAAAAAATCAAATTCTGCCAAGCCTACTTACAGTATTTTCCAGCTGAGATTATTCATTTTGCAATGTTATTGCTGATGTAAGAATCTGCCAGTTAGTAGTTAACAGGTGACGTGCTGGCTCTTAAACTAATAATTAATGACTGGCTTGATTAACTTGTTGCAAATAGCCTGGATAACTGACTAGAGTAGACAACTTCTTAGACACTGGCTCATTTTCCTGGGCATAAGTGCAGATTGGACTCTCTTTGGATAATGTACTGGTCGTTGCACTCCATGACAGTTGCCTTTTTGCAATTTTTCTGCTATTAAACTAATCTGAAGGTGAATATGATGTCCCGAGGTCCTGTATAAATAATCTTGGCATTTGTAAATGGCTACTAAATTAACACTAGAAAGAGAGACTGTCTATTTTTAATCTATGTGACATGTCTTACTTTCCTTCCAAAGGTGCCTCACTCTTATGGAAGAGAGAAGCATACAGTTTAAACATGTTTGGGTTTCATTTTCACTTTCTTTACTTTTTGGCGTAAACATACTGCAGAGCTTGAAAATATTTTCATTTCCTACCAGGTTCATCCTGGTTGCTAATGGAGCACAAGCCAACATGGTTAAAGTTTTGTTTTCCAGCATTGTGGATGCAAACAGAAAAAGCCTTATAGACATTTACATTGTAATCCGACAGCAGGATATCTCTGCGTTGAAAAAAAAAACAACCCACATAATTTGCTACCAGAGACTTGTATTTTCAGTTCTTTACATCAATTTCTGCACATAAACATTTGGGTCAATTTCTGCCATGTCTCTAACCTCATTGGATGGTGGGGGTTGGGGTGAGTCAGGGAACACTGGCCTACAGAAAATATCCTTTAACATTTTGATTTTTCAAGATAGAATTTCCCCCATCAAATCAGCCAAATGGCTTTCCAACTCTCAGCTGTCTGTTCCCATGTATCTAAACATCCTTGCTTGCATTTTAGCTTGAATATATCAGAAACAGCTTAATGGAGGGCAACACAATAACTCTTTTTGATAGTATAATACCGTGCTGTCTAGAAAGTTCTTCATGAATACTGTTTCAGCTGTAAAATTAACACAAGGGTCCGTCCTCTCTACACTGCAAAAATGGTGGCAGTCTAACTATACTGTAACAGTTATATCCTGTGTGGATAGAAAAAATCCACAGCCACGTTATGGAACTAAGCTTTCACCCTAGTAGATACCAAGTCTAAAACATGATTCTCTAAGATAGGTATCGTATTTGTTCACACAGGCATGGAAAAAGCATTAACATAAGTGGGCCACAACCATTATCTGACTGATATAAATGTGGCTATTTTCATAGTTTAGATAGGGCCAAAGTTGTAAATGTACTGGGTCATCCAAATAGTCCAAACCTGCGTACCTGGGAATGAAAGTGTTCCTATCCTTATCTAGCACAAGAGGGTACAAGTGGCTGTGTTAACCCTTAAAATGAAGGCATGAATGCAGAGGGAGAATATGCAGTTTGGTTGTGGCTTCAAGAGGGGACAAGATTAAACTCAAAGCGAATTTAAAACAGGGATTTCTAAATGGAAAAGCTAAGATGAATACAACTGTAGTGATCAACCGTGCCTGTAGCTTTTATTGTAGGAAAATTGCTGTAATGTCTGCCAAACACCCTCAGCTTCCTCACTTAATTAATCTGACTTTCAGACTAGACTCGTATGTCTGAGCATTTGTTTTGGGATTTGAAATGAAATACTGTTAACAATATACTGTCACTAAATAGTATCTGCAGAATTATACATCATCATTTCCTTATGTGGGTGTTTTTAAAACAGTATGAAAGGCCTGTGATTATCCAAGATTCTTGGAGGCTGATCAACAGAGGAATTGGGCATACCACAAGAATCTCCAAGAGTGTTATTGCCATTGAAGATTTCGAAACCATTGATGCTGGCAACTATATTTGTACAGCTCAGAACCTACGAGGACAAACCACAGTAGCCACCCATGTTGACCTGACCTGATATGTGGAGTCTGTGGACACAGAATGAACAAACAGTATGTTATTGGACACATTAACCCTTTAGTTTCTTTTTATTAATTCTGAGATGGAGGTTTCTGTTAATATCTCTCTCCTCATGTCCTTACATTCCACTTCCATTACAGAGCAGTGGTCCAGAGCAGAGACCCTAATGCTTACCAATACTCAGGAGAATTGGATTGAAACCATATATTAAACCTTTGTAGCCTGATTATGCATGTGGCTCCCAAGTGCTCCTAATACAGTGATAAATCTTCGTCAGGGAGAGTCTATATATAAATAACTTTTATGTTAGGTAAATATAACTACTTGTAAAAATGTTGCTTGTGCGTTATTTTCATGAATGCTGAGAGGAGGATATAACAACTTTTTAAGTAGACCCACCAGCATAGGTATATTTTCTTCTTTGTCATGGTGGTGATTTTAACACATTGTACATGTAAAAAATATTAAAACTTAGTCATGATTCACTTGTTATAGAAAATTAGTCAACAGTGATTACTCTTCTCTGGTTTGGTAGATGTGGATTAAATTTCTTTACTGAATAGTGACAAAATGGTATAAGTGTGTGGTTTTACTGTTTACTCTCATACCTGAGAGATGGTTTGGATTGAGTACATGCTAACTTTAAATTGTGGTAGCACTGAACATTTTTTAAAGGGAGGTACTTTAAAAAAATTATAATTAAAAGGTAAAATATTTTGCATTTTTGTCTTAGAATATTTCCTGTTGTATATCTTGCTCTTGCCCCAATGTAGTTAATTTTAAAATGCCCACCCTCTTTAGCATGGGAATTTAACTATTGCTACATAGTAGAGATATGACTTGGCATTTATAAGCAATCTTTCACAGGAGAATATAAGCAGAACACATTGATTTACAGTACTGATTGAGAAAAGATCCTGTATCAGCCAGGTTGGTAACTACCTTTACTGAATTAAGTGAATTTACTCCAATCTTAGTATAAATGAAACACCTGAATCAAAAATGTAAACAATCTGTAGACCTAGGTAATTTAGTAGAGAGAGAAGCTGCTACGCTTCTCACTATGGAATGAGTTGCCAAAAAGCAGGCTGTATAATATAATAGAAAAAAGAAACAGCCAAAGTTAGGTTATCCCATCATAATCAACACTGATGGTTATGACGTTCAAGAGTGACATTTCAATAGCTGGTGCCTTCCTCGGAGCCCACACAGACTGATATAAAGCTACAAACCAGCAACACAAGAACCACCCAGTAACATAACTGATTACAGTTGATCAGGATTAACCAAGAATTGCATTAAACTAAGGCTTGGTCCACACTGGGGCGGGGGATCGATATAGGAAACGCAACTTCAGCTACGAGAATAGCGTAGCTGAAGTCGACGTTTCCTATATCAAACTAAAAATACCTACTTCGGGTCCACGCGGCGCAGGCAGGCTCCCCCGTCGACAGCGCTTCCTCCTCTCGGCGAGCAGGAGTTCCGCAGTCGACGGGGGAGCGCTTCTGGGATCGATCTATCACGTCCAGATGAGACGCGATAAATCGATCCCAGAAGATCGATCTCTACCCGCCGAATTGGGCGGGTAGTGTGGACCAGCCCAAACAAACATTTACATCAGCAAGAATGTAATTGTACAGTGGAAAAGCCCACTCCTTAACGAGGAATAAAAATCATCACTATAGGATAATTAACAACAGATTAAGTCAGAGGGAAGGATAGGACATTTCAGTTAAGCAGTAGTGCTTTGCTTTTTTCAATCAATGAACGGCAGGAAGGAAACCCTCAACTGCCTGAGGAAGAAGAGCTCTGTGTCAACTCCAAAGCATGTCTCTTTCACCAACAGAAGTTGATCCAATAAAAGATACGATCTCACCCACCTTGTCTCTCTAGTAACATTAATGGCTACTGCCATCTTGGGAGACTAGTCACACCTGTAAATTGGACATTAATATTACAAACAAAATACCATTTAAATACAAAAATTGGACCGTACAACTCAATTCACCATCTCAGAGAGGATAGTGCATAAGGGATATCCACCAAGGGAGAATATGATAATGAAAATACAAAACAATAAGATGCATCATCTCATCAGAAATGCTAGTTTGTAATCTTCATTCAGATCAGCTAGTGACATAAGTCTTAATTAAATGCACCCCTGCCCCATCCCCTTTTCTAGTGGAAGGGAGCTGTTTGATTAGACTGGCAGGGGAAAGATAACCCCCTTCCCTGAGACCTTCTGCACACCCCTCTCAGAAATGCAGTTGAAGTTCATGGCCAGGTGGAGGGGGAAAGAATCCTCTGTCTCTCGGTGCCCTAGGCTAAGCTGTGTGGATGGAGGGAGAGTTGATTGCCTGCCTTTCCTGTATGTTTGAAGCGCTCAGGGCAGGCAGCAGCTATGCTACTGTGACTGCTGATCCATGCGTCCATCCCTGCAGTGGAGGTATAGGTTGAACAGTGCTCCATAACTGCTGTGGGTCTGAGCCATTTTTAGCATCAGGAAATAATTTTTCCCGCATCAAGATTAACAAGATACCTAGGGGGCTTATCCTCCACTTTCCTTGAGGCCTATGTTTAGGTTAATAAGGAGCTATGCCAGGATTTACCAGCTGTACCTGTGCTTGTAATTGCATTGCAACTTGCTGCCTATGTCCAGCCTGGGGATGAGGCTCTAAAGGGCCAGCTCCATCAGGTAACCATGAGACCTGGAAGATGGCTGATGCACCCATCAGCTTGTAGGGAAAATGGAATAGCCTCAGGCTGCAAAGACATAAGGTATGTCTACTCTACAAGCTTTGGCTGTGCTTTCCAGCTTGTGTAGACATACTCATGCCAGCTCTCATCAGAGGTAGCATGTAAAAATGGAAGCATAGGTATGGGTAGCATGGACTTGTTGCCCTAAGTACAAACCTACAGGCTCCAGGTGAGTTTGTCAGAGCAGCTAACCCGTACGACTGTGGCTATACTACTATTTTTAGCATACTAGTTCAGATGAGAGCAAGTGTGTGTATGTGTACACCAGCCTTCCCATGTGCCATCATTTCCCTTTGTGCACAGAGGGTAAGAGAGGATTCAGAGGTGGGCAGAACCCTAGGGGTTAGACCTGAATACTGGTTATTTGGCATGGAGAACATCGAGATTTATTGGGGTGCAGTGCAATCCTCAGTTTCATGTGGGTGTGGGGTGGGAGGAGATGGTAAAGTTTCAGCTTCTGTTTTAAAAATCCACCAAAGTCTTTTAATTCTCCCTCCCTGTTCTGATCAATGAAAAATCCTGTACATTTCCCTCTGATGAATGCTAGAGGTTTCCACCTTTTTAATTTCAAAGTAGTTTCAGTACCTCCAAACCTTGTCATTAGATAACTCATTTCCTTAAACTGTCTAGCAAGTGAGACAGCATCACCTATCCTAAATAGATTTTTGTTCAGTAACACATTGAATGGTGTGGAAGCACCACCTCCATTAGGTGACAGTTCTCCAGGCAATAAGAAATAAGATGCAAATTCTCAAATACAGCAGCTGTACTGTTATCTAAGTAAGTGCTATATAGCACCTTTCATAGAAGAGCTTAAATTGTTGGGCCATATTGGTGAATTAAGCCTGACACACCCTTGTATGAAGTAAATACATTCTCCCCATTTTAACTGCTAGGGAAGGTGAGGCACGGAGAGCCTAATCTTTCTATCTCACCTTGAGAGGTGTCCCACTGAAATGAAGAGAATTACAGTTGTGTAAAGGAGAAGAGAATCAATCACCTCTCCAGAATTAAATAAGTAATTTGTCCAAGAACACATCCCCAACACTGCCAGCATGTTACTGCTTCCAGTCCTATGCCTCAACCACAAAGCAATTGTTCTTCCCACTCCTTACCAAATGTGCAGTCACTGAAATTAAAGAGCAAATATGTTCTAAAAAATGCAGAGGGAAAAAAAGATAAAATGGTGTCACACTTAGTAGTGCTTGGTGTTTTTCTAAGACGAGAGAAGAGATTAGACGATAGTGCAGCAGCTGTCCAAGATATTCTCTCTCTTTAATAAGTTTGACTTTCTGTGCTGTTCTGTTAGCTTTCAACAGACCATTTTTATCCAGTGAAGCCCTAGATGATTTCCTGGCTTGCCATACAGCAATTGTAGGTTTAAATGCCAACATTTATCATCCACTGACACACCGTGCTGTCTGAATTATGTGATACTCATTAAAGATGAAATGTCTGTGGTTGATTAGAGAAACTCAGGCAACTGAAGTGTTTCTGAACACAAAAGTCTTCAATTAGTGTAGGTGATACTCTTCATGATGACAGTAAGCAACATAAGGAAATGATTCATTTTCTTAGTTTGGGTTTTGTCACATCTACTAATGACACACATTTTATTTTAACAGAAAAATTTTAGGGGTGATGTCACCCAAATATTGTGTCATCTATTGGCATGAGGATTACAAAACATTTGACGTAGATGAATATCATTGTAATTTCCTGTGTTTAGAATTTTCATTATGGGGGTAGCAGGCAGACAACCTAAGCATAGAAGTTGCTAATGCTTTCATTTATAAAAGATTGAGTGTGCAATACTTGCAATAGGCTTTTGAAATTCAGCAAGAGGCAAGCCCTGATGCTAGATAAATACTTTGTTTTAAATCCATGAAATTCTATTTAGCTGAGGTACTGTATCCCTGCCATTGCCAACTTTTTCCTGAGAAATGCAAGGCACTTGCCACGGAGAATTGCATGAACATGCTAAAGTTCGGGACCCACACCACCGCTGTAGCAGCACACTTATTGGGAATACCTGGGAGTTGCCAGAGCAGCAGCAGCAGCCCTAGCTTCTGAGGACAATATAAAGGGGCAGCAAGCCCCCCTCACATACTCAGGGGGTGAAGAGATCGAGAGGGTAGAAGGACCTCTAACACATGGTGCTAGTATCCCATCTGCCTCTACATAATGGCCTTCTGCTGTTAGCTGAAGTGATAGTCCTCTGTACTATAGTGCTAAACCCTGCTGATGCATTTTTTTGGTGAGGTCAGAGGGAAGAGGAAGTGATAGTTGTAACATAGAACATGAGCATCTTTACATACATACACACACACAAAAACTAAAAAAGGGAGATATGTCATTAAAAGATTAGGGTGCAAAGTTAAACACTCACAACTTGGACTATGAGCAACCTAAATTCTGGCATTTCGTTTGTGCGGATGTAGTATGATATTACATGATCACAAACTATTTTTTACATAGGCTACCTGCCTTATTCAACATACAGGTTGGCTGCACGATGGGAAAGAATTGTTTATTTTTGTGGCATCACTACGACTGTAGTGTGAACATACCATCCCTGCGCAAGTACTTCACATACTGCAGTGTGCGTGTTATAGCATAGGTTTCTCTCTGATTTGTTAATGTTGCTGTGAAGAGTGGCTGTGTCTCCAAAATATAAAGCCAGTCTTATTTTTACTTCTGGAATTTTTTCAGATGTGAAGCTACAGTACTTAATAGTCTTGGTAGGTGGTAAAACATGACTCTGATCACCTGAGGAAGACCTCACTTCCAGGATTAGATTAAGAGGATGGTTATTATAATGTATGCTGATGTTTTGATTGCTCTGGCTTTATTCACAGAGTGTATCAATAGGTGGCAATGATTTTAGATTATAAGTTGAATCAGGTAGCTGATTTTTAGAATGGAATTTTTGCTAGTTTTTTCCTTTTATTTTTATCCAATTGTTTTGACAAATTATGATTAGCAACAGCGCAGTGACAGCTCATCAGGAAACATTCAAGTTCCATGCATCTGACCAGATTGAAGTGTGGACTTATTAGCTACCGTGTACATTTTTCCTCCCTTTTTTCTACAGTAGATTGACTCCTATTTAACACAGCACAGTCAAATTTTCATAACTGGCTTATTGACTGGAAAGATGAAGTTCCATTTTCAAAAGGGGCTTGGCATTGAGACCTACCCTAAAGGAGGAGGGAAGGAGCCTCTCAAAATTCAAGTAAGTACATTTTCTCCTGTAAACTGTTCTCTGAGCACACTCAGCTCTAATGATGTAAAAAAGGAATGTTTTTGAAACTAAGCTTCAGATAATGTTTTACTCATTTGCCTCTCAACTTGCCAAGGCCAATTGTTTTCCAGTAAAGCAAAAACTACTGTCACCTGAGAAGGAACACTGTCAAAGCCAGAGTTCTGGGCTACATTTACTTATGAAACAGGCTTCTAGCATTCATGCTAGTAATTTTTTGCCTTTAAAGTTACTGGACTGGAGGCAGTTATGGCTAATCCTGGAATTGCTACATTCAAGCTGGGTCATCCTCTTTGGGGATCGAACCTGAGACCTCTGGATATTAACACATGAGCCTCTACTGCTTACACTAAAAGATCTTTTCTCTCTTGGCCAAGGCTGTGGCAGGCTCATCAAGCTTGAGTTGGCCTAGCCAGTCGTCAGTGTGGCGCTCTGTACCACTCTGAACAGACATAGTTTACAACAGATGCAGGATGCGTTAAGTTCTTTTCTGGCTAACAGCCAGATAGGACTGACTCTTAAAAATCAAACTGCAGATCCTAGAAAGGAATAACCTTTCTTTTTAAAGTCATACACACACAACTTTCCCACCTCTTCATAACAGATAGGAATAAGAGCATGAAATGATTTAAAAAACAGGTACATTTTTGAGAATGTCTCCTGCATTGTTGCCTATGTGAGAAACTACATTCAGTTTAAGAAATAGTTTAATTGTTCTCTAGGATCTAATCACACCAACCCACAAACTTTACAATTAGCTCAAGTCAAGGTTGGGGTTATCTTTCTAAATGTCAACTAAAATCTCCATTCCGCTTCCCTCTCCCTGTCAAGAATTCCCTCACATGCAGGGCCGGCTCCAGCATTTCTGCCGCCCCAAGCAAAAAAAAAAAAAAGCCGCGATCGGCGGGGCAGTACAGCGGCAGGTCCTTCGCTCCTAGAATTGCCTCAGGTGCCGCCCCTCTCCCTTGGCCGCCCCAAGCACCTGCTTGTTCAGCTGGTGCCTGGAGCCGGCCCTGCTCACATGAACCATGGTGCATTCTGAAGCCACTTGCTAGAATGACCAGAGATAGCAAAGTCTTTGGAGGCTATTAACCTGTTATCCAAGGAGTTTGAGAAAAGTCATGAAATGAAGCCGATTGCTACACTTTAAATACCCCTGCTCTTGAGAAAGTAAAATAGATCAATGTCTGAATAAGTTATTAAAAGTAAATGTTTTGGTAAGGCTAGAAGGGCTATAATTGGAAGTCAACATGTTTTGGTAACACACAATGGATATAATTGGAAGTCAACATTTGCCCATACACAGTATCTGAAGACATCACTTACCCTTTGAATGTAACTACTTCCAGCTGAGCTAGAAAAATAGGGACTTAATGTGGTTCTTAACTCTTTTTCAAGCATTGTTGGCTAAGTTCTTCATGGATAATTATGTAACCTGGCTATTTTTAGATGTGCATCTTAGTGTACATATGTTCAACCTGAAACTGAGTAATCAGGATTCTCCTGGATCCAATACTCATCTACAGACTACACAAGCAAAACTCAGTTTGCTATCCTGAGTTCTGTCTGTAATAGTGGTGCAGGTTTGGGATAAAAAATTTAATAAGTTATCTGAACACTGATGAAAGCTCTTCTGCGCATGAAGGAACAAACCATTCTAAAGTTTCAATATTTCAACTGTTATTAGACTACTTAGACCCTGGAAAACTTTCCTTCTTAATTTCAAGTTTTTTAGATTTACACAAGCAGAAAGTCAAACCAGTAAAAAAAAAATTTATTTTTAAACACATCTCAAATACACATGATCCAATTTCCTTAACCTTATCAAAGCAAAGAATGCTCTAAGAAATACTTTTAAGCCAAGTTTCAGCCCACAGCAGATTTTTACAGTTAAGTTATAAATCTGTGGAAAACAGTATTTATAAGTGCTGACACCACTTGAACTACAGTGGCATGTACAGTGCCTTAAATGGGATAAAAAAGAGGCAAATTAAGTAAAATGTTCCATAGAGGAGTCAGACTTCACTTGTACATTGTGTAGATTAAATTTAATTACAAGCTTGAATATATTACAATTTCATAGTTACAGAATGAGCACTGCTACAACTTTGTTTGTACACCCATACACTTTCTGAAGGGCCAGCATTTTCATATCCTAGATGAAATGTTTGGTTTGAAGTGTTTTTCAAGTTTAGTTTCCCTACTCCTCCTCTCTGCCCCTCCCATCCACTGGACTCCCTTTCCCAATCTGCTGGAAAAATACAGTGAAGCACAAGATTTACCATATTGCTAACACTGTTGACAAGGTAACAGTAGAATATTCCTGGTTTAAAAACAACCCCCAATCAGAAGCATAGACAATATTCTGTAACCATAACTAGAAATTGAAACTGTACTCACAAAACAGGATGCATGGGATCTTTAAAAGAAGTGCGGACCAAAACAGTAACAAGACCAGAGACACACTGTGACTACCTTAATTTGAAACATAGTGTAAAACGTTACATCCATCTTCAGCAACACAGACATGTTTGTTTTAACTCAAGGGTAAACTTCTGCCAAGTGAAATTTGGAAACTTTGGAGAGATGAACCACATGTTCTTCTCCCCACCCCTCCATACAGTTATCTTGGCAACACTGCTGAAAGTTAAAATAAGGGCACAACATTTAAAAAACAAAAAACTTTGTCAAAATCAGAGAAACGGTATTGGTTGCTTTTAAGACTCTCTTTTACGAATCTTGCTACATTTCTCATTCCCCTTTCAAAGAAAGTTGTCATCCTACTTATTTTTCCCTTTTTGGCTTTCAAATCCTGTATCTTCGATTAGATCAGGACCCTCCTCTTCTCTACAGGTGGCCTTGGCAATTACCAGGCTTTTCTTAGGAAGTAATGGTTGCTTGTCTGGGAGTTTGTTTTCAGCAGACAAGGGGATTGGGTCAGGTTGCATGTCTGCAGTATGGGAGTTTATGCTAAATCTAGTCATTTTAATGTTTTGACCTCTGACTACAGTAGAATTAAGGGAGTTGCAGAGATTGTCAATTTCAATGTTCCAGAATTATCACCTTGCTTCCCCACTTCCATTTTAGCAAAAAGTGTTCTAAACTTGACTGTATCCTGAAAAAATGCAATGCTACCATCTTATTAGACTGTGATATGGCTACAAGTGCTGCATATGAATGGGAAAGCTAAAAATTCATAGACGGTATGGCTGCAGTTTCAACGCTGATGATCAGACTGAATTTTTTAGAAAAAAAATCACTCAATTGCAGTATAAAAGTAGGTAGAGACACTGACAAGTCAACAGATAAAACATTTCCTGCCATCCTCTTACTAAACGGAAGCAGAAAGATGAGGTGAAAACTAGCCTATAATACAAATGGCAGTTTCTCCTCACCCGCAGTTAAGGGTAACCTTTGATAAAACATGCATATTGACAACATTATTAATGAAGTACATGTCAATGTATATTCTTTAGCTTTTGTCCTTTATTACATACACGGCAAAGAAGGCAGCATCTCGCTCACGCTCACACACACACACACACACACACACACACACACACACACAGTGTGTTACATCCACTTCATTCACACCACACATCTACAGTCTCAAAAAGGTGTCTGTGATAAGGAACACATTATAGAGGTTGTGGTCTTTATCTATAGCCCCTGAGCTTTTTTCTTAGAGTTAGGTGAAAAAGGCAATGAACAAGACTTCCCTTGCTCTGTAAGTGCTTTGTGCAACAATGTCTATAATCATTATTGAAGTCTTTTTTAGAGGAGAAATATAAAGTCTTACTCCCATATTTTCAGTATCTTAGAACAATTTTCCACACCAATAATTCCAGTTATATTTCAGTCATCACACTCAGCTAATATAGCTCTTGCTCCCGTGATTGGAGTTAGGATCAGTTCTGCAGATCACAAGTGAAATGCTTTTATGTGGTCTCCCCCTCATTTCAAAAGATGTCATCTTGGTGCTACTGTAGGAGCAGAGAAGGAGCCAGAATTCCTTGGTGACTGAGAAGGCATCAGTGGAGAAGTAGGTGACACTTTCTTAGGGCTGCACAGGTCCCCATTTTGAAGCTTCCATAGAAGTTCTTCGTTTTCCATTGATAAACGTTTATTTACTTTCGATTCTTTCTCTAGAGACTCCTGTAAAACTGCCTGCTCTGTGGAAAGTTGCCTGAAAAAATAATTGTATGTAAGTGGACATGATTCCATTTGAAAGTTAGAGCATCTTACATAATTTTAAAAGAATTTAAAAAGCTATAAGATAAATCCCTGACCAGATATATTCATTCCTTATCAGGATTTAGTGCATTTGTTCTCGTGGAGAATATTCCCAAGAAGTAACAGCTGGGTTCTACAGGATTGCCCTCCCTGCGTTGTGAGCTGGAGCTATAACTTGAGTTTTGCCCCAACTTGACTCCCATCCACACACAATTCTCTAGCTTGAATTAAGTGGTATTTTAACCTCAAGTTGTTGGGCTTTGAAGGAAGTGGGTGTTGAAGCTGGAGCGCTGTTGAAGCTAGAGCTAGTAATGCAGTGGAGATGCAATAGCTCCAGGAACTACAGCTGATTAGCTCCAAATACAATCACACTGCTATTCAAGCCACCGTGCAGCTCGAATGCAGGGCTGGCCTTACCATGAGGCAAACTGAGGCGGCCGCCTCAGGTGCCAGACTGTTGGGGGCGCCACTAGGACCCAGAGTGTAGAAAATTGTGTCTGCTGCTGGTGCATATGTATTCTCTCTGCTCTAGGTGCACAGAGATGGTGGAGTGCTGTGCTGGAGGAAGGAGGGCACAAGAGACATAACAGGCAGGCAGGAGAAAAGGTGAGAGGGAATAACAGAAAGCAGCAGGAGCTGCAGGGAGAGAGAGGAGGAGGAGGAGCTTCTTATGTACCTCTCTAGCACCCCCAGGAGCCTGGACTGATTAACACCAACTTCTCAGGGAGCTTCCTGTTTCCTGCTGCTTCCCTGAACCCACTTGAGGAGAACAGGCAGTCAACTGAAGTAGTAGGAGCCAGTTAGGCCCTTAAGATGTTGATATCTTCCCTCACTCTGGCCCTGCTACCAGCCTGCTTATTTGTCCCCTTCAACTGAGTGTTGAGAGCCACTATAGCTGGCACAGAACAGCAGTTATGAGTGAAAGAAGAAACGCCCCTCTGGGGCAGCATTCAGAAAAAGCAAGCAAGCAAAGGAAGCTTTTCTATCTAAGCAGGAAGGAGCTCTCCTGAGATATGTAGACACAAATGTTCACGGTGAGCCTTCCAGCCCCAGTGAGGATGTGAGCAGTGAGGAGATGCCTGACCTTCCAATTAGTCAGAGTGCAGGTGACCTGGCAGCTACTGCAGCATCCATATCTCCATCTCAAATGGATATAACCTCTGATCTACACTTTTCTTCAGGAATGTGCATGAAGAGTGTGGTGGAGGCGCAAGAAACAGCTGCTGCTGAGTTTAGTTCCTTAAGTCTAGATGATCCAGGACTGTGGACCCACTTGAGCAGTAGTCTGAGGGACTTCCTTGTACTGCATGGACCACAGCAAGTGAAAAACTTCATGTGCCCCAAAGACAATGAAAATAGAAGTTTCCATCCAACACATTACTGGCGTGAAATCCCAATGGTGACAAAGTGGAGAGGCCATGGCTTATGTGCTCAAAAACCCAGAATACTGCATACTGTTTTTGTTGCAAACTCTTCCAGTCTAATGTTCCAGCCACATTGGGTTCTACAGGAACAAAGGACTGGAAAAATCTGGCTAGAAATCTGGCATGCCATGAGAAGGCAGCAAATCACCAGAGAGCATTCCATAGGTGGAAAGAGCTTGAGATGAGACTAAGATTAAAGGCCACCATAGATGATCAGCATCAAGAGAAGATTGCATCAGAGTCTCTTTACTGTGAGAATGCTTGCTACCCAAAACCTAGCACTGCGTGGCACTTCAGATCAGCTGTATGTGCCAAACAATGGAAACTTCCTTAAAATTGTGGCGCTGATGGCGGAGTTTGATGCTGTACTCCAGGAGCATCTAAGAAGAGTCACCACCCAAGAAATGTACACACACCACTACCTTGGAAAAACAATTCAAAATGAGATCATACAGTTACTAGCAACAAAAGTCAAACAGAAGATTGTGGCAGATCTGAAGTCAGCAAGATATTACTCTGTTATTCTGGACTGCACACCTGACATCAACCATATGGAACAGATGACTTTAATGGTGCGTTTTGTAACAACAGAACCTAGTGAAAATGTCCCTGCAATGGTGACTGTTAGAGAGCATTTTCTAGAATTTATTGATATTGATGATACTATAGGAGCTGGTATGGTAAATGTGCTTCTTAAAAAGCTGGACGATACGGGAATTGCGACAGCTGGCATGAGAGGTCAGGGCTACGATAATGGTGCCAACATGAGAGGAAAGAACAGAGGAGTGCAGACACGGATCCGAGAGTTAAACCCTCGAGCTTTTTTTGTCCCATGCAGTTCTCATTTATTGATCTTGGTGGTCAGTGATGCAGCATCAGCTTCTAGTGAGGCTGTTGAATTTTTTAAATGTAATTCAAAGCATCTATGTATTTTTCTCTGCATCAGCTCATCGATGGCAAATTTTGAAGCAACATCTGGGAAAATCCTCTCTGACACTGAAACCACTGAGTTCCACATGATGGGAAAGTCGAGTGGAGGAGATAAAGCCTATCAAACACCATATTGGGAAGACAGATGATGCCATAGTTGCCATTATGGAGGATAATACTATGACAGGAACTGCTCGTGGGAGAACAGTAGCAGAGGAAAATGGAATCACCAGAAACATACATACCTTCAAATTTCTGTGTGGCTTAGTGTTGTGGCATGACATACTGTTTGAAATAAATGTAAGCAAGAGACTCCAAGGTGTTGACCTTGATATATCTGGAGCAATGGAACAACAGGACAAAGCAAAGTCATACCTACAGTCTTACCGGTCAGAGGAGGGATTTCTAAACATTCTGAAGAGTGCACAGAAGTTGGCAGAGGAACTTCACACTGAAGCTATTTTCCCACCCATTCAAGAATACAAGAGTCACTGAAGAAGACGACATTTTGATTACGAGGCATGGGATAATCCCATAAGAGACCCCAAACAACAATTCAAAGTTGAATTCTTTAAACAGGTGCTAGATTATGCAATACAGTCAGTTGAAGAACGTTTCATGCAGCTCAAGGAACACAGCAGTATATTGGGATGTTGTATGATATTCCAAAACTCCTCACTATACCTGAAGACGACCTACACCAGCAATGCAGGGCACTAGAGACAGTGTTGACACATGATGACATGCGCGATATTGATGCGAGTGATTTAGGTGATGAACTGAAAGCCCTTTCAAGATACATTTCAGCAGGATCAACCCCAAAGGCTATTCTGGAATATATGTGCACAAATAAGATGACCACCCTCTTTCCAAATGCTTTTGTTGCTCCGCGCATACTTCTAACACTTCCTGTAACAGTTACCAGTGGAGAACGCAGCTTCTCCAAGCTGAAGTTAATAAAAACACATCTACGCTCCACAGTGACACAGGAGAGGCTGGTTGGCCTTGCAATCATCTCAATAGAGCATGAGCTGGCCCAGACTGTGGACCTTCAGGAAGCAGTTCAAATCTTTGCGACCAAGAAGGCACGGAAAGCACCACTTTGGCATTTTTATCTGTTTGAATAATCAATGTTTACTATGCAGACAAGAAAAGTTAACTTTCAAACGCCTGAACAGCAAATGTAAGTATTACTTAAAATTTCTGAACAAGGCATTTTAAGTTGTTAGTTCTCCTTTATTGGGGTAGGTAGCAGAACAGTACCACGAGAGGAGAAGAACAGGAAGAAGGCAGAATTGAGACCTTTCAAAGTTTTGGCGCAAGTGAGGGGGTATGGGGGCATTATTTGAGCTCCCCGCCTCAGGTGCCAAACTGTTGTGGGCCGGCCCTGCTCAAATGTTTCACAGTGTGATCACTCACTTGAGCTAGGCTAGCTCTAGTGAAGTAGCTCAAATGTACTAACTTGAGCTAACTGTTGCAGTGAAGACAAGCCCTAAGCTGGCAGCTTGTGCAGAAGACAGAACAATGTCAGATGTAACAGGCATGTGCCGTGGTCAGAAAAAAAAAATCCTGCATAAAAGCAGCTGCCTATTCTTGCCTGCATTACTGCATGAGCCAGTCATTCTACAAAATTCTGGGTAGTTTAAGATCCTTTTAAAATTCAACTCTTATTAATGAAGGCAGCTGAAGAGTGTTTTCACATCTTCCCTGTTAGGAGTCATGTCATAGCTCTGTCTCCTTGCAGTGCAAGACCTGCAGAATTTGTCTGAACTTCCTATTTTCCTTTACTGTATGCTCTACAGTGGTTTGCCCATTCATTTCTTGCAACATATGCAGAATTAGGAGACCCGATTAACAAAGTCAGACCCCATCTGTGGATTGGATGTAGTCTGTATATCTAGAACCAGGTGGCTTAGCACACACTGCCCCTCTGATTAAACAAACTGTTTTTAAAAGGACTCTTAACTATTTATTTTCAACATTTTAATATATAAACCCCCAAGCAGTTTTTATAAAATCAGCAGCACTTCACTCCGGGGAAAAAGAGAATCTAGCAACAAATTGTAGGAGATGGTGCTCCTGAGTAGCCTTTACTTCCCTGGTAACTATGTTAATGAGCATTCAAGACAGTAACGTGGGCTGTAATTTCCAGGGGAACAGAGCTAGCCTTATTTGATGTTAAGAACAGTCATGATTTTATACACTGCCACCAGTTGTTTCAAGGAGCCTCCACCCCCACACAATACCCATTCCTGCTTAGGCGGGATTTCGGATTTGCACACAGAGAGGATGGAAAAATGAGTACCATGCGTCCATATTCCAGGCATGATATCTTACAGTGGTAAGGGCTTTTTAAAAATCTACAAGATGCTGATTATTCATTTACAGAATAAAATTTATGCTTTCACAAGTTAATAAAAATGCCTGCATTTCATGGATTGTTTACCTTGAAAGTTGCATGTGTTTGTCCATCCGAGCTTTTAGTTCTTCATTTTCCTGCTGAAACTTCTTCATTTTGTCCATTAAGACTGTGTTCTTTTCCACCTTTAACAAATGAAAACATTGTTGGGGTTTGTGTGTGGGTGTTCATTTTTAAAAAAAATACAGAATAATTCCATTGGCAAGTACCCATTATATGCATTACTTAGTAAAACGAAATCAATTTCAGGTAAGTACAAGTTAGATTATTTTAAGATACATAGAATGATCTTGAAGAAATGTAAAAGTGACGTGAAAATGATTTATTGCTCATCTTTAGTAGGCAAGTCTACTTTTTGCTTCTTCTAGAGCTGGCATTTTGCCAATTTTGCTTGATTAGCTGCCCACTAAAAGCTGAATCTGCTACTTGAATTTCTGGGCTGGTGGCAGCAGTTCTCTTCACATATAGCATAACAGATGGCTGAGACACTAGATCACCATGCAATATATAGTCTAGGAATAACTTGATGAAAGGTGACAAATTCAAAAAAATCTTCTCCATGTATAACCAGCTCTCCCTCAACCTTCACTACCACTCACAAAATCTATTCTGTATTTGCAGAAGTGATCTGATCCCCATTTTAAAAAGCCACTCTCCTGCATTTCCCAATTAGTATCACGGGGGAAAAAAAGCTGCTTTTAAAAACAAAAGCACTTTCAAATGAGTTAACATTCAGTGGATTTCCAAGTCAACATCTTTAGTCAGAAGAGACCCTGTGGGCACCAAACCTTTAGAGCCCATGATTACTCTGAAGAGTCTAGGATTTTATAACGACTTGTAAATCATCACTGGTATATGGCAATAGTTGGCTCCCAGACAAAATGTAATAGCTGACTGAGACCTTGGTTCCTGTTATTTAAGCCTCTCGTCTCTGCATTAAATGACAAGATTTCCATGAAGATGATGGCTGAAGTGTTCCGGTAGTGCTCAAATGCACCAACCAGGATCAAGGCCTCCATCATGCTAGATGCTGTACAAACATTACAGGAATTCCTGCCCCAAAGAGCTTCCACTGTAATACAACAAAAATAGGAGGGGGTTCCAAGGAGTGGTAATTTAAACAGGCCGTAGTATTCAATACATCGGATCGACATAGACTTTATATGAAAAGGAAATACTTAATTTACTCACTCTCAACATATTCAGATGATTTTATTTTTCTGTACCATGTTGAGTGGGTTACTTCCTTTTTTGTTTCAATAAACTCAGTTATGTGACCGTTAACATTTTTTGCCTAAGGGGCATTGTGACACAGTGCAAGCCAGGACTACGTAAGCTTCCCCACAAGGTTCTGCCATGCAATCAGAATCTCATATATAGCAGATTTGAATTTAACCTGATATTTGTCAAGAGTGGGGATTGCATATTGTGGACAGTAACTAACTAGTACAGATTATTTTTAACAACCCAAAACAAAATTGAACAGAAGTCTACAGGTTAAAAAGTTAATTATGCCACCTAGGGATTCCCCTCTTGCCTCTCCCACTTGAGTCAAAAGAGAATACCAAATAGCTAGCATTTTACAGAGAGCCCCTGGAAAGTTATCATCATTTACAGGATTTACAAGTTAAATTGCATGGAAAGAAGAAATGTGGTTCAGAAAATTGGCTGACATTTGATTTGTTCCCCTCTGACTGTTAGTTTCTCTTATTGTATCATTCAAGAAACATCTCTCCCCAGATTGCAGGCCAGCACAGGTAAAATTGTACCTGCGACATTAATGTGTACCTTGTGCTCCTTTGCAAATTTTTGTTTGCTTTTCATGTATACTATATTAGCTTAATGTTTAAGCTTGATCAGCATGAATTCACTCTCAAAATCTGATATCTTAGAAAACAGTCCCCACAGAAGCTCACCAGTTTTTCTGTCTTCATCAGCTTTATATCTTGCTGACGTAGTTTCTCATTCTTGATCTCCACCACTGCTTTCAAACTTTCCAGTTCCTGTTCCAGATACATGATCTGAGGGTTTTTCTGAAAGGATTTCCACAAAAGTTTGCTTATTTCTCAGAACTTCAAACAATCTAAATAGCATTTAAAAATATATATAGTAAACACTTGTAAATTAGGTGTTTAATAAATTTATGACATCAAGTGGGACATGGTTTTGAGTCAGAAGGAAAAATTAAGATTCCCCCCCACTCCTGAATATTTTTTCTCCCCTCCCTTAATTTCATTTGTCCCTCAGTACAAAGATCTAAAGATCCCCTTTGAAAATGTAATTTAAGAAACCTCTATAAAAAGTTTAACATGTAGAACCCTGTTCAAAAGAAATAGGATGACTGGCCAAACATATAAACATTTGCTTTTGTATAAATGATAAAAACCCTTGTGGATCAAATTGATACATTATTGTTGGCATAGTAAAACGTATTCATTTTACAGTAGTCCTGAGGCTCCCTAATAGTTAAGGCTGCTAAGAATTCCAGAAACCTCTATTTCCTCTTAGTCATAACTAAGCCCAAGAGGAGGTTAATTAAAATATATATATTTATATGTACACATGCATGCACACAGAGTCACTCAGATATTTTGTTTGTACCCTCCTTGAAGAACTTGAACAACTTTTCTTACACGTGAGTAATGCAAAAGCTGAACTTCAAACCTTTGAATTTTACATGTAGTTAATCCTCACAGTTTCCAGTTTGAAAGCAGCACTTTATAATTCCGCTATGCAGCTTTCATACTACTTTTGGCTGCATAACATACAGTTGCATATTATTAATCTATACTAACAGTCTTTGCCTCATGATATGACTTATCTGCTATAGCAGGCTTAATATTTACTGGTTAGTAAGTGATGTGGATCTGTAAGGGGTTATTTTTAGGGCTGTCAAGCGATTTAAAAACTTAATCGCGATTAATCGCACTGTTAATAATAAAATACCATTTATTTAAATATTTTTGGATGTTTTCTACATTTTCAAATATATTATTTCTATTACAACACAATACAAAGTGTACAGTGCTTACTTTATATTTATTTTTGATTACAAGTATTTGCACTGTAAAAAACAAAATAAATGTATTAAGTGAATTGAAAAATACTAAGTACTGTAGTGCAATCTCTATCATGAAAGGTGAACTTACAAATGTAGAATTAAGTACTAATAAACTGCATTCAAAAATAAAACAATTAAAATTTTAGCGCCTGCAAGTCCATTCAGTCCTACTTCTTGTTCAGCCAGTCGCTCAGACAAACAAGCTTGTTTACATTTGCAGGAGATAATGCTGTCCGCTTCTTGTTTAGAATGTCACCTGAAAGTGAGAACAGGCATTTTCAAGGCTCTGTTGTAGCAGGCGTTGCAAGATATTTATGTGCCAGATGCACCAAAGATTCACATGTCCCTTCATGCTTCAACCATCATTCCAGAGGACATGCATCCATGCTGATGATGGGTTCTGCTTGATAACAATCCAAAACAGTGAGGACAGACGCATGTTCATTTTCATTATTTGAGTCAGATGCCACCAGCAGAAGTCTGATTTTCTTTTTTGGTGGTTCAGGTTCTGTATTTTCTGTATCGGAGTGTTGCTCTTTTAAGACTTCTGAAAGCATGCTCCACACCTCATCCCTCTCAGATTTTGGAAGGCACTTCAGATTCTTAAACCTTGGGTCCAGTCCTGTAGCTATCTTTAGAAATCTCACATTGGTACCTTCTTTGTGTTTTGTCAAATCTGCAGTGAAAGTGTTCTTAAAATGAACATGTGCTGGGTCATCATCCGAGACTGCTATAGCATGAAATATATGGCAGAATGCAGGTAAAACAGAGATGGGGACTGTCAGGGTCCCCCCCACTCTGAACTCTGGGTTACCCACATGAAAGACCCCCTAAGCTTATATTCTATCAGCTTAGGTTAAAACTTCCCCAAGGCACAAATTCCTTTCCTTGTCCTTGAATGGTATTGCTGCCATCACCAAGTGATTTACACAAAAATTCAGGGAAGGGTTACTTGGAATCCCTATCCCACCCAAAATATCCCCCCAAGCCCTTTCACCCCCTTTCCTAGGGAGGCTTGAGAAGAATATACCAGCCAACTGCCTTAGCAATGTGAGTACAGACCAGACTCTTTGTCTTCAGGACACTGAAAATCAATCAGGTTCTTAAAAGAAGAACTTTATTTATACAGAAAAAAAATAAAAGAATCACACCTGCAAAATCAGGATGGAAGGTAACTTTACAGGGTAATAAAAAGATTTAAAGCACAGAGGATTCCCCTCTGGACTCAGCTTCACAGTTACAAAAATAGGAATAAAACTACCTCTGTAGCATAGGAAAATTCCCAAGCCAAAACAAAAGATAACCTAATGCTTGTCCTTGCCCTGCTTACAATTTCTGTGGTTTTAGATGGATTATTCCAGGTATATTTTCAGGAGATATTGTACCTGCTTGGCTTCTCCCTCTGTCGGGAGAGGGAACAACAAAAGAGAACAGCAACAAATTCCCTCCCCCCCCCATTAGAAAGTATCTTCTTTCCTCATTGGTCCTTCAGGTCAGGTGCCAACTATGTTATTTGAACTGCTTAACCTCTTACAGGTAAAGTAATCCAGTACAGCTGCCAAGAAGGGATTTTATGCTACTACATACATAAAGGTTGCTACCCTTCCCCCTATATTTATAACAGGGACATACAATTCTCCCCCAAGGAGTTCAGTCACAAATTTAATTAACGCATTTTTTTTTAACGAGCATCATCAGCATGGAAGCAGGTCCTCTGGAATGGTGGCCAAAACATGAAGGGGCATACAAATATTTAGCATATCTGGCATGTAAATACCTTGCAAAGCTGGCTACAAAAGTGCCATGCGAATGCCTGTTCTCACTTTTTGGTAACATTTTAAATAAGAGGGCAGCATTATCTTGTGTAAATGTAAACAAACTTGTTTCTCTTAGCGATTGGCTGAACAAGAAGTAGGACAGTAGACTTGTAGGCTCTGAAGTTTTACATTGTTTTGTTTTTGAGAGCAGTTATGTAACAAAAAAATCTACATTTGTAAGTTGCACTTTCACAACAAAGATTGCACTACAGTACTTGTATGAGGTGAATTGAAATATACACTGATTTCAATTACAACACAGAAATACAATATATATGAAAATGTAGAAAAACATCCAAAATATTTAACAAATTTCAATTGGTATTCTATTGTTTAACAGTGCGGTTAAAACTGTGATTAATTTTTTTTACCTAATCACTTTAGTTAACTGAGATTAATCCACAGCCCTAGTTATTTTGTAAAGTTAACCTCTACCGGGCCTCTTTTTCCATGATAAAAGTGTTTATGCTTTGCAACTGAAGTCACAGGCAATAAGAAGAAAAAGACCTATTAAATCCAAGTCAGTATGTAGGTAAAAACTGGAACCAGAAGAGAAAGAAGCCAACACCATTGAAACAATACGTCTATTTCTTTAAAGATAAAATTAATTGTGCTACTGGAATGAAAGTTGTTTGTGTGTATTTGGCGCAAAAAATGGTGTATTGAATTGAGTTGTATCTTCATTATCACGTCAAAGAGAAAAGGACTCTCCTCTCCCTCCCTCCCACCCCCAGACGACATGCACCTTTGTGGGATACAGCCCACACAGACAGGGGCAGGTTGAAACTTGAGGTGACAGCCTTATAGACTAAAAATGGAGGGCTTTGGTAAATTCAAGGTCTTCAGGTGACAACCAGTACATATTGCAATTAAGGTGAGAGCCTAATTAGCCATCTTATGTTTGAGTGACTGGTGCAGCTGTTTTTAATGTCTGCTTAATTTGTGGTTCTTTCTATTTGGACCCTTGGACAAAAAGTAAGCAAGAGAATTTGGACTCTGATCTCAGAGACGGCCAAGTAAGGAATGAAATAATGTGTACTCAAAGGACAAAAGGCATAATGATCCCTTCCCTAAATACTGCTGGGAGATAGGGAGACAAATGACAAAAAAGGTGTCAGTAAGTTTTACTGTTTTTTTTTTTTTTTTTTTTTGAAGGGAGAACCAGAAGTCTGGGTATAAAACTTAACAAGTTATTAAATCACATGTCATCAAACAAGTTTTCTCCTCCTCTCCCCCTCCAAAAGCAGATTTATAAAGTTAAATGAAAATAATAGTTACAAATATGCCACAGAAGAAAACTGCTTTGGCCAATTAATCCTTCCCACTATAAAATCTGAAGCGGGGCAGTCTCAAGCCCATGGTTCACCTCATGAATTACTGCCACTCTCTCCTATTCAGGCTATCAGGCTGGGAGAAGCATTTCCAGCTGCATAAAAGACATTGAGCCTACTGCCCCTTCAAACTACTCTGTGCCTGAACATTTGTGGAAAAATATGGTCCCAACCCCAGAGTCTATCCATGCTGCCCTCTGGTCTGCATTACATCTCTCCCTCCCCAGCCACACAGCTCAGGAAATGTGCCGCGATTGGTTCCTCCCACTGCACTGGTAGGAGGCAGAGCAAGAGAGAGGGAAGGAAGGAAATAAATGCTGCTGTGAGTGACACTGATTTCCACTAGATAAAACCAACAGTATTTCTGCACTTCGCAAGAAAAAAATTCTTAGAAAATCCTCCTCCCACTTACTGACAGTGCAGGCCTCCAAAACCTTCCACAACACTGTTTTTCTCTATGATTTATGGGTCTAGCTAGGAGGTATGTTGCTTGGGCTTCACTTCCCTCAAACTGATTTCAGGTCTTCGCTCACCATCCTTTTCTAGTCCTGTCATCTCCTGAACAGTGTGTAAAGGGAGGGCAGCATCTGGCCGTTTAATCTTATTTTCTAGCTTTCATGTTCAAAGTAAATCTTAACCAGGACAGACAAAACTTTACAGAAAGACAAACACTGGAGATAGGAGACCATCCATCGACTAGAAGCCTCTACTCCGTGTCCATAAGTGAACTAATGGATGCACATACATCAGTAGCTGCCGGAACACAGCATATTCGTAGGCATACAATTGTGTAAAACCTTCAGAAGCAGGCCTGTTACAAATAGCAAGAAGCAGACAAGTTGATAGTTTGCTACAGCTAAAGTGGCAACCAGGGGAACCATCCCCAAAGAAAAGACAGAAGTGTCTGATGTCTACCACCATTAGCGTAGCCTGAAAAACCTGGAGTCTGAATTGGTCTTCTAAGAAGAAATGATCATAGGCCAAGTTGAAAATATTGATAAACATGCCTATCCCACTGCAGGAAAAATCTCATTCAGAGCACACTTCTTATAGCAGGAACATCACAGATTATGACACCAGCCACAGGAGAAAGGACAAAGGAAAGATGCTGATGTATCATGGTTGTGTATTTTATCACAGACACTATCATTAAGCAATGCTTAAATACTTCTCAAAGAATGAGCTCTTAAAGGTTGGACCTTAAGCTGGAAGGTGTACACAGTGGTCCTACTTATACAAATCAGTTCATAATTCTCACAGTTAACTTTGCAGGAACTAGAACACCTAGTGCTACCTGTGTACAAATTGTTATTCAACAATTGTGTATCTTTGAATGTGTTACATTTTGATTACTATCCATTTACCCATCTAATTTCAAGGATTTCTACTCAACATATGTACCTTTGCTACTAACTGAAAACTTGATAGTGACTCTACCTGTAAGCAACCCTTAGGAATACCCCCTCCCAAAAAAAATTATAGAAATCCCATATGTATTTTCATTAACTTTTGCAAACTAAACAAATTTAGTATGTCTGAAGATCCATCCAGAGAGATGGAACCATCTAACAAACAGCAACATAAATTCCATGAAAGCGTATGAATTCAGTTACTGTATACAAGGAAAAATAGACTTGATCATGCTGTGCATTTGAGAATTAAAAAAATTAAGCTCAATACTTACAAGATTTGCTTTTTCTTTGGCTATTTGTTTTTGCTCTTCCAACTTTTCATTTAAAGAATCATTTTCCCTTTTTAATTCATCAATTTTTTTCTGAAACAAAAACACAGTGTAAGAGTGAGTCCAGAAATTGGGTAAGTCTCTCTCCAAAAACATCTCTGTCCCCCGGTTTTGAAATTGTTGTAAAGTCTTGTGAATCACACCCCTAACAAACCTCTAATGATTCCTGTTTCTCTTTAAATGAATTTTCAAATGAATTCCTTTCCAATTCATGGGCATTCTTGAGCTCTGAAATAAATACCAGATTTGCAGATTGTTACAACATTGCATAACAAGTGAACCATATTTTAGAGAGCAACAGAGGGTCCTGTGGCACCTTTAAGACTAACAGAAGTTAGTCTGTTAGTCTTAAAGGTGCCACAGGACCCTCTGTTGCTTTTTACAGACTCAGACTAACACGGCTACCCCTCTCATATTTTAGAGAATTCATAGTTAAAAGGTGATATATGCACTCATGGTCAATAGCAAGAATGCCGAATAGAGCTAGTAATATTAATCATCATTATTCTGGCTTGAAAACAGATGACATGTCCAAGTGATTTGCCTTCTAGGCATTTATAGACTGGTCCTCCACACGTCTGTTACACTATACATAAGTTTGCTCACTAAAATATCAGCTTTGAAAGTACTTAGCTATATGCAATGAAAATCTATTGGAATTGCATACACTGAGCACATTGTTGGCACTCAACTAAATATACATGTCTGACAAACAAAAGAAGCAAAAGTTGTAATTGAAATATTTGTCTATGAGGAACTCCTAAAGGAAGAGGCTCATTATCTTTGCACTGTTTTATACTTCTGTGAAATATTGTAGATTCTTTTGGCTTGTTCCTGCTCCCTTTGTAGTCAATGGGAGTTTTATCACTGATTCCAATGTATGTAAAATTGAGCCATTATAAAATGGGTTATTAAGGGATGAAACACACTTATTGTCTATTAAGGACTAAGTTAAAGCTCAAAACTACTTGGTATTGCAGGTGATCTTAAAGAATTTCCAAATACTGACCAGACATTTATTTCCCCCTCAGAAAAACTGAATTCCAGACATAGTTTCTGAGCTACTAGGGAGAATAATGCTCGGCCAAAGAGAGGCCTCTCCGGGTCAGAAGGGGAATAACTATCTGTCTTCACTTTATCTGGATTTTAAAGAAAGCCAATTTTATGGGGCTCCTTAGCACTTAGCAACAAAAACTATAGAACAATTAAATTACTGAACCTGAGATTTTGAAAGCAGCCTAGAAAATTTAGACACCACTTTCATTAAAGAATTGGAAAATGTGTGTCAATCTTTTAGACTACTTTCAAATCTCACCTTAATTTTTAACTCAATGAGATTTATTTTACATATAGGAATAACTAAGATTATGGAGTCCCAAAATGAGAACTTCAGCTGATTAACAGTTTCAGAGGTTGTTTATTATCAGGAACAGGGGATATTGAATGGATATGTTTGCTCTCAAAACAATAAAAATCATTTGACATTTCTTAACATACAGCACTGTTAGAGAATTATTTGGTAGCGTATGTTCCACTTCATGAAGGAACACAAAGCACTTGCCTGAAAGAGAGGATTCATATTCCTTTTTCAGCTCATCTATTTTTTCTGCATGGCTGGTTTCGAGTTCTAACTTGAAGTTTTCATGCGTAATATTTAAGTTGTCCACCTGCAATATGATAGTAAGTTTTTTTTTTAAAAAATCTCTCATATAAAGCCATGTAATCCTTAATTAGAAAAAAAAAAGTCACCTAATACATTCCCCCTCCCCTCTTTCACCAAGTAAATAAAAACATGTCCTCTTAAGGGAACCTTCTTTAAACAAAGTCTAACTAAATCAACCATGGAAGGAGCCATGAACGTGAAACAAACTGTCAGACCAAACAGAGCAATGAAGTTCCGAAGCCAACACTTTGAATATCCCCAACTTCAGTTGCCAAATCAAATCAAATCTAGTGACTGAACTAGAAAGTCCCAGCTATTCTCAACTGTTGCAATAGCATATAAAATGGTGTATGTAGCACTAAGGGTATGTCTACAGAGCAAAAAGGTGTGTTCTTAACTTGGATTAAAATAGCACAGAGGGCACAACTTTTTACTCAGGTTAGCAGCTCAAGTTAAACCTATAATAGAGCCTGGGGGTGAATTTGAGCTGCTAACTTGAGTTAAAAGCAGAGATAAATAGTCTAAGATAGCAGGAACTAAACCACGTGCAGTGCTTTGTAGGTAAGAAAGACCGGACGTTTGATCAAAGCAGTAAGGTGTTTAACAGGCTTAGATACTTTTGCCAGCTTGAAAGTATAAGTAGTTCAGATGACACTAGATCAGTTTTGCTATATCTCAAAGCTTTAATCTTTAAACGACCATTAAGGCTACAAAAGCCGATATTGAATTTAACACATTTCTAGTCATCCTATGTATTTTAAGTACTTCATTAATATTTAAGCATTAGAAAACATTTTAGAGACACATTTTGTTAACAAGATGAAGTTGAGTTTAATCTTAGATGAAGGTAAATCATCTAAGTGGTAACATTAATAGAATAAAAACATGATTGTTTTGAAACTTGTTTACCATAGAAAGGAATGAATTATTGGTTAAGCACATTTGCGGCTTCTGTTAAATTGTACAAGATGAAACTTGATGTAGCTGGGTTACTAATATCTCTTAAAGGACGCTTCAAAAGCCCCAGTGAACTCTTCTAATTCAAATACCACAGACCTGCTCTTGAAGTTGTGCTTTATATTTTTCAGCTTCTTCAATACAGATACTCTGTAGTTTCTCACACTCTCCAGTGTAAAATTGTTTAAGTCTTTCCTCCAGCTCTGTCAGATCATTTTGGTGTTGCTGATTTAGCTTCTGCACGAACCCTTCATAAGCAGCTTGTAATTCATTCCTGTCTCTCTCCAATTTCTCACAGGCTGCAGAAGTGGTTACTGAAGATTTAAAAATGAAGAGTCAGTAATTTGACTTGTTAAATCCAATCATAATTTCACAGAGCTTGTCTACGTTATAGGTACTAAAAAGATAGCTGTGGAAATTCCACAGAGCAGGATTATGATACAAAATATGATTTACTTGTAAAACGAGTGCCACCTCTAAGGCTCCCTAAAGAGGCAATCTGCTGTCTGTAAGAGTTCTTGGAAAGTATTACAGTGACAATTCAGTGCCTCCCACGCTGAGGGTTAAGTTTAGAGTTAGATGTCAGTGTAGACATAGCCTACGTTGGTAAAACTTATGTTGCTTGGGGGGAGGGGGTGGAATATGCACACCCCTGAGCAACATAAGCTACGCTGACGTAAGCGCTCGTGTGCACAGTAGTATGTCAGCGGGAGAGCTTCTGCTGACACAGCTTCTGCCGCTCAGGGGGTTGTTTTTTTATGCCAATGGGAGAGCTCTCTTCACCACACACGCTGCAGCAGTGTAGCTGTCTTCACCACACACGCTGCAGCAGTGTAGCTGTATCGGTACAGCTGCGCTGTTGCAGCTCTGTAAGTATAGATGGGGCCTTAAAATCAGAAAAAAAGGGGAAAAGCACTTCATTTACTGTTAAAAATGACAGTGGTTCACAACAGAAAATTTATCAATGACATGTTTCTCACTACAGAGACTGGAGTGCCCTAATGAAGATTTTAATTGGATTTACCACTTCACTTAATTGGATTTTATTTCACTACTGGATTCCTCAAAGTAGTATGTCAGTTCAAACTTAGCTATTTATGCTTTCAATGTATAAACTGAAGTGTTAAAGTCCTATGTCCCGAAAGATGAATACCTATTTAACACGTTAATTACACAGAGATAATAGACAAGAGAAAAGTGATTTCTCCACAATATCAAAATGCTAGTTGGACAAGCTTCTGTATGCTGCCCTTCCAGTGTATCCTCTATTAGCCTTTTGTCCCCTCAGAAATCATTGGTAACATTCTATGAATCATTTAAGATATATTTTCCAGCAGCTAATATCCAGTTTCCCAGCGACCCACGCATTACCACTATACCAAGCCTAGCAATGGGTGTGTAAACTCTTTGTTTTCTAAGAAGAAATGAAATGGGAGGAAACTGAATTTAGAACATACATTCTTATGTACTTTCAGCAATGGAGTACTGTGTTGCCAGTTATGCTCACTGTTACATGACCGCTTTAGCCTGTCAATCCAGGATTTTTGAAACCCATAGTTTACTAGGCTACATTCTAAAGAATAGAGCAGAAATACAATAAGAATATTATGAGATAGTTGCAGGCAGCATGGAGAATGGAAAGCAATCTTTTAGAGAATACAGAATGTTTCTTCAATGTTTCCATTAATCCGGTTTAACAAAGAACTAAATTTCTCTTCCCCTCCCCCCATTTAAAAGGTACTTTGAACTTCTGATTTGCATTCCAGTATCTATACTTATGAATTCCACCATAGCAGATTTGTATATAAATGTTCACAACTCAGAGCAAAAGGGCACATACACCTCCCACCACACACATGCATTTTTCCATTGGCAGCATGACCAGCTGAACAAGCCCTGCCCTATACACCTTCATCTGCATAAAAGTAGTATGATTATAAGGGAAAATCCAGTAGTACATTTGAGTCATGGCAGCAGAGCATAGTCCGGATAGTGAAGGCTGACCACTGGATACCGTTGTATAAGGTTTCATTTCCATGCAGTCTCAAGGCTTATTAAAGAAAATTAAAGGCTTATCTAAGCTATTTGTAAACAGAGACCTAGCTAAAAGGATACTATAACCTTGGATTAAATGGAAGCAAGAATTTTATATCTTCTTCTTCGGCTAGCCTGCAATGTGAGGATGATGTCTGCCAAGGGGGTTCATTGGTGAGTTTTTAAGTGGCTGAGGAGCCCAATTCGTGCCCTGCAGATTTCCCCACAGAAGCGACAGGTGTAATCTTGGACGAGACATAGTTGTTGGCTGTTGACTGTTGTGCCTTTTCTTTACACACACACACACACACACACACACACACACACACACACACA